AGGTGGGCTCGTTGGACTTCCATCCTCTGGGCCGAGCTCGTCGGGCTTCTGCCTGCTAGGCTTCTCCGGAAATAGGCTTCTAAATTGACTATTGTTGAAGCCCATGCCCAACAGTAGCCCCCCCAGTCGGCGAGTAGGTGGGCTTTGGGCTCGTCGATGTGGTTCCGAGGCCCGTGACGTATTTGGCCCACCCCTATCTTGTTCCTGATTGGCTGANGCGAAGCGATGCGCNAGCTTCTNGATGACTCTTCGTCTGCCCGANTTNGATCTATAAAAGGGGCCTTTCCCTACTTCATTCTTTACTTCGCTTCTCAGATTTTCTTAGCTTTCTCTCTCTAACTTCTTTCTAGTTTTCTTCACTTTTCTGCTCGGCTTCGTGCCTCGTCTTTGGATCTTCTTCCTCCATCCTTCAACACCTCCAAATTTTCGATCTTGATTTAACCATGTCTGGGTCAAACGAACGCGAAGAATCCGTCTCGGCTGGTTCCGNCGATNCNCCACATCNAGAATACTNGCCACNCNGGGANGGAGAGTCATCCAGCGAGCATACTGTCGATTCAGTACCGCTGGTGAGGAAGAACAGAAAGGCTTCCTCGAACCGGGGTGGAGTCGCTTCTGGTTCGGGACGATCCCCTGGATCTACTTCCCGTCCTCTGACGGGCTCGTCTCCACGGCCCCAGGTCGTAAGTACTTCCCGAACTGGGAAGAGTTTAGCTTTAACTCCCAGTTCGACTNATCCTGAGTACGAGACTGNCCAATTCGAACTNGGGGACGACGATCGTTGTCCTGGTCCCGGGCTTGGGGATGGGGTCGTTCCCCAACCAAAGGACAACCTATCGACGCAGTCGGATGAAAGCATTCCTTCGAATGTCGTATTCCGCATCCCGTCGAAGGGAGATCGTCCTTGGACGCCTCCTCCGGGATTTATGTGTCTGCTCGAGTCCTTTTTCTACGAGGGAAAGTTGTGGTTCCCCCTCCCGAGAGTTTTAGTCGAGTACTGTGCTCGGCGGAGGATCGCCATATCAAAGCTCTCTGTTGCGGCGATCCGCAACTTGGTCGAGTTGCTAGTTATAGCGGCCGAACTTGGTAGGAGGGTGTGCTGTAACACCCTCGAGGAACTNNCGAAGATTAACCGACTAGGAAAAGTCGNGAGTGGTCGGTTCTACCTCAGTTTGAAGAACGTTCTTCTGGCTTGTCCTCCGGGGAATAAGACCGCGAACTGGGAAGCTCGCTACTTCTTCGTGAAGATTGACCGAGCTTCAGTTGGAAATCTGGACTGGCTGATCCGATCCGGGTGGAACGTTAACATTGGTACTGATTCTCCTCTCGTATTCTGTTTGGTTTTTTTTATCGATGTCTAACTTGTTTTCTCGCAGCTCGGCATTTTCCCCTTCGCGCCTTTCCGGACGGTTTTGTTGATTTGAGGGACCAGTTATCCTCGCAGCAGTACCAGTGGTGGCCCGAGAACTTTCCCGCAGAGCGGATTCGCCGAGCTGTCGCTCGTATTCAGTCGGGTAAATTTTCCGATCTATTCTCCTGACTGGAATCCCTACGACCTCGTTGTTTCTGACGTTGCTTTTTAATGCGTTTGTAGGT